TTTCCGGATCAGAGGATTCGAAATTTGAAACCTTTTTTAATCTTCCTCTGTTTCATGGAATCTGATTTCCCAATTCGTCTCTGTTTTTGTTATTGAATGAAGTGAGAGATGGCGAGAAGTAGATCGATTAGTGGTTCTGGGTTATGGAAATATTTGAATCCTGCTTATTATCTAAGAAGACCAAGACGTTTAGCTTTGCTTTTCATTGTGTTCGTCTCTGTTTCTATGGTGGTTTGGGATCGTATAAATCTTGCCCGAGAACATGAGGTATGTTTTTGTCTCAATGTCTCTCTGTCTTAAAGACAGTTTTAGTATCATAGCTTATAGATTAGCATTAAAGGAGGTATGGTTTAGGGTCTATTATTTGGTATAAAAGAACTGTAATTGATAATTTGTGGACTCAATTCATCAATTTATATGGAAGAAACTATTTGTGTTCGTTAATTTGCTTATCTTATATCAAATTGAGATTGAAAGTGATGATATTTTTTTGTTGCAAGTAAGTGAATGATTGATTCTCTATGATCATTTGTTACTTTACCTGTATTGCTGATGTTTAACAAAATTTTCTGTTTTTGCAGGTTGAAGTTTATAAGTTAAACGAAGAAGTTTTACGCTTGGAGCAAATGGTAAGATATATATATATTTAACTCTCACTCTAGATTCCGATGACTTCTTTGGTTAACGCAGAACTCTGTTTCCGCCTTTTTTCCATCTTTGTGTTGCGCAATTGTTTTCTTTGGTACACTTCATTTGTGGAAATATTCATGTTGAGGTCTATTTAGTATTGATTGGCTTTTGAGTAACTTATGACCATGAGGACTATCGGGTTTGTAATTGGTTTTCAACTGTTTAGCTAACTAACTATATTTTTTTGCTAGTTAGAAGAGCTTAAAGGTGTTGGCAATGGTAAAACTTTGAAGACTCTGAAGGATGCTCCAGAAAATCCAGTTGATATTCAGCGAAGGCAGAAAGTGAAAGAGGCGATGATCCATGCTTGGAGCTCATATGAAAAGTATGCATGGGGAAAAGATGAGCTTCAGGTAATTAAACTATTTTCCAAATAAATTTTCATCTTTGGCAATACATGAATCTAGTGACGATTTTCTGAGCCTTTTGCTATGAGCTTATCTGAAGTTATCACATTTTTAATAGGACTCTGAGTAGTGAGATTATTTTCTTCCCGAACTCTGCAAAGAAAACTTTTGGTCTGAACCTATTCTTGTTTCTTTCATTTTTTTTTTTATCATCAGCCTCGGACAAAAGATGGCACTGATAGCTTTGGTGGCCTTGGAGCAACTATGATAGATTCATTGGATACACTCTATATAATGGGTCTAGATGAGCAGTTTCAAAAAGCCAGAGAGTGAGTAACTACAGGCTCGTCATGATAAATGCGTCCTTTTTCTAAGTCATATAACTGTTCTCATCTCCAATAACACGTGTCCATCTTCGCCAATCTTTTATTTGCAGATGGGTTGCAAGCTCATTGGATTTTGACAAGGATTATGACGCCAGTATGTTTGAGACAACCATAAGGTTGCTTTAACAGGTTTACTGTGGTTGTTTTCTGTATCTGTCATAGGAAAGAGTTCGGTTCATTTACGGTTTATTAGTTGGTTCTTGATTGACATAAGATGTGGAACGTATTTATTGCATTTGCTTAGGTTCCATCGCTTTTATTTGGTTCCAGAGTTGTAGGTGGACTTCTGAGTACGTATGATCTTTCTGGGGACAAAATTTTCCTTGAAAAGGCTAAGGATATTGCAGACAGATTGTTGCCTGCGTGGAACACTCCAACGGGTATACCTTACAATATTATCAACTTGAGAAACGGAAATGCTCACAATCCTTCGTGGGCGGCGGGGGTGAGTCCTAGATTATTGACTGCACTGTCTGTTATATTGTCGTCTTCGGAACAAAAGATGATTAATTCATGTAGATCTGTTCAAAGACTTTAACGTTGGATGCAAATGTGTGCTCCGGCAACTGTGTACACTTGTTCTCTAGCTAACCAACTTATGTCCCCTGTAAAAAGTTAGATCTGGACTCGTTAGAAACAGAATGTTTTGGTATCTCTTTATGCAACTATTAACATTCTTGTTTGAGGCCTATACTGCAAACACGTTCTGCTTTTAGAGTTGATCATAACTATAGTTTCTTAACTAACTACGTTATATTCCACTAGCAATCACATGCTGTGTCTCTGGAATGGGTACAAACTACAAAATGTGATCGGGTTTTGTTATGTTTCATTGAGCACACACGGTCTGTCAGTTTTAGCTGATTGTTACTTCCTTTTTTGCTGTATTAGGGAGACAGTATTCTTGCAGACTCTGGTACTGAGCAGCTCGAGTTTATCGCCCTTTCCCAGAGGACAGGGGACCCCAAGTACCAGCAGAAGGTAAATATCTCTGTTACTTTCATGTGTTGTTATAGATCAGCTGAAAGGAGAATAATTTTCAGTTTGTTCAATAGATATTTGTTATAATCTAATTCGATGTGAAAAGAGGGCAATCTATCTGCACTATTGCTGTCTTAATGCCGAAGAAATCATTTGCTGCTCAAGATTGACTCGTTTGTTAACTCGTGTCTCTCAGGTAGAGAAGGTTATTACAGAACTTAATAAGAACTTCCCTGCTGATGGTTTACTTCCCATCTATATAAATCCGGATAATGGCAATCCATCGTACTCCACCACGACATTTGGTGCCATGGGAGATAGGTACACAATTTCTTTAGTTTTGTGTCGGTTGGGTTTTATGACCTTGACTTTGCTTAGTAACAGTTAATATATTTTGGTCTTATAGCTTTTACGAGTATTTGCTCAAAGTTTGGGTGCAAGGGAACAAAACATCAGCAGTGAAACCCTATAGGTAAGTAAAGCTCGGCGCTGTATATACATTCCAGGTATTTCAATAGTAGCAAAAATGATAAAGACTAAGTCTTTCTTATGGCAATTAATCAGAGAAATGTGGGAGAAATCAATGAAAGGTTTGTTAAGCTTGGTCAAGAAATCAACACCTTCATCATTTACATATTTATGTGAGAAGAATGGAAATAATTTGATTGATAAGGTAAACACTATCTAATTTCAACTCTCTAAGTCGAGACTTTGCGGATTTGACATTGTTTCTTTCTCGGTTATATTCAGATGGATGAATTGGCTTGCTTTGCTCCTGGAATGTTGGCTTTAGGAGCTTCAGGTTATGGCCCTGATGAAGAAAAAAAGTTTATGTCACTCGCTGAAGAGGTACGTTTAGAGTCTTAAAAGTTTCTCGAACTTTTAGTAAAGTTTCTCTGCTTTCTATTTATTGTAGTTTTCCTCTACAATGTACTGCAGCTTGCTTGGACTTGTTATAACTTTTACCAATCGACACCAACGAAACTCGCTGGGGAGAATTATTTCTTCAATGCAGGGCAGGTTGGTTTATTTCGGGTTTCGGGCATCTGTTTGTTGTTTGGTTGGTTTGGTCATCATATCCACAAGCATCATAATTGTTTCAGGACATGAGTGTTGGAACATCATGGAACATCTTAAGACCAGAAACAGTTGAATCACTATTTTACCTCTGGCGGTTAACCGGGAATAAAACATATCAAGAATGGGGATGGAATATATTTGAAGCATTTGAGAAGAACTCTCGTGTAGAATCCGGATACGTAGGCTTGAAGGATGTAAGTTTTCTTCTTATCAAAAACCCATTTCCATCTTTCAAAAATCTTGCATTAACCAACTATTAACATTTCCTACTTTGTTTTCAGGTCAATACAGGTGCTAAAGACAACAAGATGCAAAGCTTCTTTTTAGCAGAGACCCTTAAGTATCTCTATCTTCTCTTTTCGCCTTCATCGGTTATTCCATTAGACGAGTGGGTTTTCAACACAGAAGCTCATCCGCTTAAGATTGTGGCACGGGAGGATCAGCGTAAGCCAGCTATAGCATTACGCCAGAGGCGGTTTGGTCAGACTAAGGGTTAGTAGACAGTTTACTACTCAAATGGATTTGATATTATGATACAACAAAGTTTGAGGCACATTGTTGTATTAGTTTGGATAACGGATACAGAACAGATGGACAATTTTTTCCACAGCAATTAGTAGAAGTACTTACTGTTTTGTAAAATTTTTGGATTTGTAGAAAAGCTTCATGCCTGACTATCATTTTAAGATTTTAAACACTTTGCAAATGAGAGCAATCAAGATTGGCCACAGAGAATGAAAGCATGAAGAAGGCTCTGTGCAAAGTGAGCTTGATCCGATGTTCCTGAGACAACCACTAGTCCCTCTGTAGTCCCTACCTTCGGATCATGCACAACCACGTTCGCTCCTGATATCTGTTTGTTTCGGTTTACAAACTATAATCAGACGCTGCCTTTCAAAACGGTCATATTCATAAATTATCGGCAACTTACCTGCTTGATGTAATTCAGGTTACTGCAATTCTCACCATAAACATGGCCTAAGTATGCTTGAGGAACCACAATCTCAACATTTGCGCTTGTCATTACTGGATTCTCGCTGCCAATGGGCTCATTTCTCAAAGCAAACCCGTGGTTCACATCAGGAACCATACCACCGGGATGGCCATCGATAGGTGGCTGGTAATTGAGAAATGTTAGAAAAAGGATATGGCAGAAATAGAAAGAATTACGACCATTTGCTCAGTGTAACCAAACTATCCAACACATTGATTTCACTTACCTGTGGGGTCCAAGACATTGGAGAAGGTGGCCTGTCAAATCCAGGAGCGTGACAGTGTCTCTCTGTATCATATGGAATAAGTAGAAATTATTAAGAACTGAGATAGATGCATGTATCTACTGGAGATAATGAGTAAGGAATTGATCAAATACCATGGAATGATCCAACTGGAGAGTGGTAACGATCTGGAGAACCTGGATATTGTCTCGGTCCAAATGGAGGAGGCGGTTCTGGATAGGGACCCATGAACGGCGGAGGTGGACCACCCATTCCTTGAAAGGGAAATCTTCCAGGAAACATTGCTTCTCGAAGCCTACTTGTTATTTGAAACAAAGCATCTTGAACAGTCTTCACATTGCCAATGACCTATCAATGCAGCCAAATGTTGTCGGTTACAAGAAACTGCTAATTGGAACAAACTTATCGAACCTAGATGTTATAACTAGTTACCTGCACAATCTCATCATGTTGAGCTTCATACTTTGTAGCTTGATCTTTAGCAAAGACACGTATGCTCGCACCGGTTGCTCTCCTCATTTCACTGATTAGATGACCCCCTTTACCCAATAAACGTCCGATATATGGAGAATGTACAAGGAGCCGGGCAACAACTGCAGCACTAGGTTCAAATCCAATCTCAACAATTCTATTATGCACACGCATCACAGCATCTTGAGCAAGAGAGTGCCTTCTCTCCAAATTCTACAACAATATAGAGCCAGAAATTAACGACTGAGAGAGAAGTCTATGATGTAAATAAACCAACTCCTTGGATCGAAAGAATCAACATACCTCTCGTGCTGATATCACAACAATTCGCTCCTCTGAATCATGAGTCGGATCCGAAACCTTAATTGATGCACCAGTTTCGTTTTGCAAACCCCGAACCACAGCTCCACCTTTCCCTATCAAACTTCCAACTTTATCGGCCGGGCATAACAGCCTGAACGCAACCTCCTCTTCAACAACCGGTCTATTAAAAGGTCCAACGTCTTCAGGCATTGGAACAGGAGGAGGATGATCCCATTGATGATACTCCATCGAATGATAATCAGGCGGATAACCAGGCTGCGGAAACGGACATTCCTCCCAAGTTGGAGGTGCACCACTCTCTTGAAGACAATTCGAGATCAACAAAAGCGCCTTCTTCACACTCGAGAACTTTCCAGTAATCTTCATACAAAACACACTACAATCAACCAAAAACTCTAAATTGAAATGCCACAAAGATACAAGTTCAACAACAAAAGAGTTATATATACCTGAATCACAACATCTCCAGGGAAAGCACAAGGAGGAATCTGATCAGTAGGTGAAATCCTAACACAAGCTCCACTATCTTCTCTAATCTTCTGTATCAAATTCCCTCCTTTACTCATCAAGAAATCAACTTGATTACCTCTAACGATCATCCTACACAAACCTTCACTATCACCTTTGTCTAATTCTTCACCGTCTGCAGAAGCAGCATCATCACCAAACATGATTCTTTCCAAAACCCTAACCAAAGCCATTTGTCCTGAAGACGGCGCAGCTTCCTCTGTCTGCTTCGTCTCCTCCGAGTTAGGGTTTTCTGAATCAAACCCATTTGACTCGTCCTTCTTTGAGTGGTTTTTGTTTACGTTTGGTGCGATTATCAACACAACACGCTCTTCTGAAGGAACGGGAATATCGTCGATGACTCGGATTTTGGAACCGGTAACAGATTGGAGATAGCGAATTACAGAGCCGCCTTTTCCGATTATTGCACCGGTCCTTGTAGCTGGACATAGTAGCCGGAAATGTACAGATCCCGGCGATGTCGCCGTCGCCGTAACCGGACGCTTTGAGGAAGAGAACTCCATTTGCTTAATAAGCTCAACGGCGTCGTTTCTCATTCACTACCATTTAACTCATAGGCATAATGTC